CAGTAAGTTTCACTAGATTAGCAAACAAGAACTATTGCCAAGCCAAAAGAAATGTTCGAAAGCATCAATGGTAATGCGTTTTTCCTTTTACTTTCCTTTAGCCTGGACGGTACAAACCCTGCCGCATTGATATTAATAAAACAAAGAAAGTGCGATATTTTTAAACAATAGAAAGGGTAGAACACAACAATCATCGGTTTAAAGAGGATGCACACAGATGCTTGTAAGGCACGCTGAGAAATGGCAACTCTGAATGAGTATCGAAGCAAGTTTCGTTGCCTTAGCAAACAAGAAGTTATTGCGGAGCGTAGAGAACTGTTTGAGACCATAAATGGTAATGTGTTTTTCCCAAGAATACCAGAGGATGTTCTGGGCCAAACCTATCGGCGACAAGGAGACGTTCAAACTTATGATGTTTTGCTTGGGGAATGGTTTTGCTCCGCAGCTGATAACACATTGGATAATCCTTTCCCAGAGTTGGCTGCCAATAAAGGCAGAAAAGCGTGCACGGCAATTAGACTTTATCCTGAACAACGTTGATGCCAAACGGAACACTTGGTTTTTCTTTGACCTGGATTACGGCAAATGGCTCCACCTCAACTGACTGCCCAGACATAAATCACAGTAACAAGACGACACAGAGAAGTCTTATATTGCCCGGAAATTAAAAGGAGTTTTATCCGGAAACACAAAAAAAGAAAAGAAAAAAGAAAAAAACTAAAAATCCTGCAATGTATTGATTGCGGGACCCAAAAAAACCGGCTCTTTTAGGAACCACAAGTTCAATAAAAATCAATGACCAATTTACAGATTCAAATGTCAGTGGTGCTCTCAAATAACTATTTATATATATATATTTTTAATTTCGTCCGTGATTGGAAGTGTTGTTAATACTGTGGTACAAATCATCAGTTTCTGCTTGACGGCCACGAGTATGCAGCGCGTTCAGTATAAAGGAACTCATCCGTGATAACATGAATGAACATGAATATTGTTCGATGTATACTGGAAAGTAGTTCAGATGCCTCAAATTACCAAATTTTAAATTCAAACGACCGGTAACAGTAAGTTTCAAAACGACTGATTTTTAACAAGTGCTTCCTTGGGCTTTTTATTAAAGTCGGGCGAGATGTGTCTGCGAGTTATGTTATTGATGTTATTGTAGCGTGCTTGTTTCTGCTCCTCGCTTTAAGAACGAGTGATCTTACATGTGTAGCGTGCTTGTTTCGACTCATGTTTTTAAGAACGAGTTATGTCATATGTGTGGCGTGCTTGTTTTGACTCATGGCACGACTAGACTCCGGAGAATGAGTTATGTTACATGTGTGTAGCGTGCTTGTTTCGACTCATGGTTTTAAGAACGAGTAATGTCATATGTGACGTTCTTGTTTTGACTCATGGCACGACTAGACTTCCGGAGACCATCGAAATCGATGTGATTCCAGTGGATCCGATGGACTCCATCGGACGACTTCGAACCCCCGTCTCAAAGTATTTTTTACACTTCCGGTTTCATCTTATGACTAGACTTCCGGTAACTCGAGTGGACTCGACTGTACTTCCGGTTTCATTCTTCGACGAGACTCCATTGGACTCCAGGTTTCGTCCACTGGAATCCAGTCGAGAGTATTGGACATGTGTGAAATTTTAGCATTTTGGAAAGATTTGAAATGAAAAGGTTGCCTAAACGATGAATGTCTCAGTATGTATATAATAAAAGCAATACCACATGGAAAGTGCTTTGTACGGCCTATACGCCTCGTTCTATTTATTTATTTATTTATTTATTTATTTATTTATTTTTATCAGAGATCTCACTCGTTCGATTTCTGGTAGGTCAACAACTCGTGCGTAAATAACGTACGCCCGTACTTTCCTTGAAGTATTCTATGGAGTGTTTTCACATGACGTCACGGCGGCCATATTGGTGTCCCAAAACAATGAAACGGCGGCCATGTTGGTGTCCCAAACCATTCCTCTGGGAGTTGAACTCTTTTCTTATGCAAACGCTTTCTTTTGTTCCAATAAATTTGCATATATGCTGGCCACGTGAGTGAAAACACTCTATATATATAGTTCTTATCTTGGGACATTTAATATCCTTCCTGGAGGCTTTACATATTAAAGAAGGCAGGTGTAACTTCAATGCAATCTAATAGGACGTGACGCTTTTATCTTGGCATTGGACCAAAAGCGGTTTAAATCATGTGCTAAGCCTAAAGGAATTTCCATCAATAAAATAATCAATTGCGGATTGTTTAGCAAAGAAAAGATTACTTTTATTGAGGACAATGGACAGATTTGTGAAAGTCACAAAAGAGACTTTAAAACTTTCTAATCCCCTTTGCAATGGCGTGAACAAATTGTTTAACGTATTAATTTTCTTTTCTCTTCAAGTTGAAACAAATTCTTTTTAAGATGGCGTCTTTGCGGTATGCATACTACCGCCAAATATATCGGCAACCCAAATTTTGTTACAAAATAATTATATTCTTTCCACCGTTTGACTCAGTCTTACGAGGCCTTCCAGCAATATTAAACGAGTGCTCCACCTCGGAAATTTCTTGGTCGCATCATCCTCCTTTGACTGGATATAAATACCTTTATAGGAGATTCTAGTTTAAGCCTTAAAACCAACCAGACGAGTCGACGTAAGTAATTTTTGAATTATAAATAACTAAAAAAGAGGTGCCCAGATTTTGCTTTACCATAAATGGTCAAAGCTCTTTATTATTAAGACCAGCTCGTCAGAGATGCTCACCAGTACCGCAAGACCCTCACTGTGTTCTTCAAAGGAGTATGAAATGGAGGTATATTCAGGGTATAAGATATTGTTCTCCTGTGGATGCTGACAGGTGGCTCGCAACCACTGTCGTTCTCATTGGCTACTTGCTTATATTTTATTTAAATCGTCAGTCCGTCATACAGGGCGTATTTAGGGTGTTACCGGTCTGCATGTCAATAATTAGCTAGCACATCTTTACTCTAACTCCATCTTGCAACACTTGAAAAATGAATCCAGTTAAAGTGTTGTTTACAGTTTTCTTCTCGGCTACCTTTTCATCTGGTAAGTGAAACCAAAGGAAGCACGTTTATATTGATGTATCGATGTAGCTTTCATAGCTATAATAGGTTATTGGGGTTTCCAGACATGACTGTCGGCGCCTTGACTGATCGCTGTTTTTTACCTCGCTAAAATACTTCCCTGCCCACTGATTTCGACGATTCGCACACACATATGTGATGATGGCGATCATCGCCTTGAGTAATCTTTGCGGTAGAGCCAAGAGATGTTTTCTGGCTTTTAATCTCGAGCGACGAAAATGAGGAGAGTGCGTCTAGAGTGAGGATGCTTTTATGTTAAAAAATGAGCTCAAAGCGCAAAACGTTAATGTCGGCCAATCACCGAGCTTGTACGCGTTCTTGTAATTTATTTCATATTAGACTTCTACGGAATGTTTATCGTTTTACATTAATGAACAAAAAAAGAAAAAAGAAAAGTTATACATAAAAAAAACAACGAAAAAGACAATTTTCATTTCGCAGTCACCAAAGTAACATAGGGATGCTCGAGTTGGCCAATGCTACATAAGAAACGGGAAAATGACTGTAACAAATTGCAGAATGGATTGTATAACTGTTTACTATGTACCACGCTGCCAACATTGTGTTTGAGAAGGAATAGAAACTTTTTGAAAGCTAAAACAGCGTTCTCACTCGCTAATGAAAACCAATTTTGTACTGTATGCAAATTGAGGTTTGGGGCGGCGCCGCGTTTTGTTCTCTTTGAATTCAATTTTGCGGTCAAGCTCTATTAAGCGAGCGTCTTCCTTTGGAAGTCTGCAGGCTGTTATAAAATGACTGACACCAATAGGAGCCTTTTGCCTGTCTTTTCGTTACTATCATAGTCTCATCTGGTAAGTGAAGATTGCTTAATTAAAGTATTTTAACATTTTAAGAGTATGAATCGTTTTCTTTCGTCCATAAAAATTGAAGTAAACATCGAGTTCTAACAGCCTTTGTAAAAGTGCTTACTAGTATAAAGATTGAAACGTAGAGCAACCACAACAGCAACCGGCAGCAAAAACGACGCTAATAAAGTGTATTTGTTTTTCACATTTCATCGAGATTTTTGCAGTTCACCTAAATGGTGACTATAATATAGACAAAGTTTCCTGGAGACAATTTTTACTTTCTTGACTGCCAAAAGACTCTTGAATAGGGTACAATTAACAAAACGAGTTAAATTTCCATCATGAAACCAACAAATTGAGGGAAATACGAGATTGAATTTTTCATTTTCCAGCTGTTTTACAAGAGAGGATGAGGTTGATCATTAATACTATCATTTAGCGCAAACACAACAAAGCGACAACTGTAGAAAAGAAAGAAAATGACTCAGCTTGCTTGACTTTTACTCTGTTTGAACGCCAATGCAATATTAAAGTTACAGCCAGAAAAGGCAGTAAACGAGCCACTGAGTAGATTTAAACTTGCAAATTTCAGGGTTCAAGGAAAAAATCTAAACTTCAGTTAAGTTGTAGAACATACTAGATAAATGGGATAGTTTTTAACTAAGGAAATCATTGTGGTGTAGGCTCTGTCGGTGCGCGGGTTAATACTGACAGAAAAACGGACTTTTTTAATTAGCTGAGTTGGTAACACGTTAAGGAGATAACGTCGCCAAACCAGCCCTTGGGCCGAGGCCGGCAAACATAGTTAATAGAGAAGAATGATTTCTTAATGTTGTTTGTTTTTGTGGCCTTCAGGAAGGTGCACAGCGTTCAATAGCATTCCTATCATGTTGATCGTAACGACCAATAAAACCGTCGCATTAAATTCCTCCTCACGATTTGTTGCTATTTGTGAACGGAAAACAAAGGATTATGCAGCATCGGGGAGCTCCCAGCATAAACTGCAGCACTGTTGCTTTTATCTTTGATGTTTGACATCTCCTTCGATAACCAATCTCCCCTGCTATAACTGTGGGTCACATAAACATGTCGTTTAGACAAATCGCTGGCAGGCGGTTTCTAGATGCAGACAGAGAATCTGCAAGTGAAACGGATCATAAGCAATTCACTGCATAAACTGATGAAAATTGTTAAAATGAACCAGCAGATAAAATCCCGATCGCCACTTAGCCGAGAAAACTCATGTAAGTGCCTTGCTCTAAAAAATATGGATATGGTGATGCCCATAAGAAAAAATTATAACATAAATAACCAATAAAGTTCGAAAAATGCGAGTCACAATGACGTCTTTGCAGTTGAATTCATTACATTGTATTTCAGGTATTTTTATCTGTCTTGTCTTGATAACACAGCCCAAGAAATAATCGCCAAGTCTGTGCTTGCTCCAGAAAACTTTGCCTGAATTATTTCCAGTTAAAGACATAAAATTTGTTAAAGTTGTTGTTAACGTTTGTGATATCATCTTTTCCACAGTGATGAGTCTCAAATGTAATGTATGCAGCAGCGCAGAGTCTTGGGATAAGTGTTCAAACACGGAAATGACTTGTCCTTCAGGTATTGAGGAACGCTGCGTAAAGGTTGAATTCAAATATGGCGAAACAAAATCCTTTACCAGGACTTGTGGAACTAAAGATTACTGCGACAAGGGCAAGAACCCAACATGCAATTTAGTAGAAAGTGTGTCAGGGGTTGAATGCAACGTCAACTGTTGCGAAGGAGATCTTTGCAACGCTGGTTCGGCAGCCAAGACCAGCGGCATCATGCTGTTATCATGCGCTCTGGCCGTTCTGATGTTCAAAGGAGCATGAGCAGAAGTAGCGATTCGATTTCCCGATGTTAGGAGCTGCCATTTTGTAATTACAGCTTTCGTTTTTGTAGAAAAACCGTGTAAAAGTCTGGTAATAGTTTAGATGCCATAGGATCATCTCTAAGTTCAAGTTTGTAGCTGCATGGTTGTTGTTATAAATTAAACAAACTGGCAAATCGGCAGAAAATTCTTACTGTGCTATTAGATTAGTGGCTAGGATAACCTCTAAATTCAGTTAAGAAAACGATGAGTGAAGCTAAGTAAAGTTTCTTTTAAAGAGGCCAAAAGTGGCAGTAGTTAAATGCATTAACGTTTCTTGTAGAAAACTACCACCATCGTAGTACCAGGATTAAAAATACGCGACCTCTAGTGAGATTTGGTCGTTTTGAGTGATGCTGCAATGTAGAGCTTTTTCTTCCTAAACGACAGGTTCAAACTTGTGAAAAGCTTTTTTAAATTTTTTAAATTTTCTTTTCTTCTTTTTGTAACAAGCGTACTACTATGTGTGATTTTATTTGTAGCGTCACAGACATTATATGTCGTATAACCCTTAAAGAGAACACAAATATAGTTAATTCAGCGCAGCCAAAAGGAAATAAAATGTGTTTTGACTTGACGTTTTGTTAAAGACTTTTAAAGTATTCTCTTCTGATCTACCCAAAGGGCATTTTGATATATACATACTGTCAGATATCAAATAGGCATTCCAATTATTTTTCCATTTTGCTTATCGCAAAGAGACCAGGAGAGAGGGATATGGTGATAAATTTCAGTATTCTTAAGTCTGGGTAAGCCCGCAAAGGTCCGCGGCTTCTGCTTGTATATTTTGTTGTTCGCTCCAAAGCCAATAAAGATATGTGTATAAATATATGTATTTTGCATCTTTTTTCAATATTTTACCGTCTCAAAGAAATGGGAAAAGAAGAAGAGACGTTGTGAGATATAGCTCGATGGAGGAGATTTCCTTGGTAGGTTGGCAGTGGCAGATCAACAACAAAATGCTTCACAAGACGCGCGTGGCTATGCAATTTCCCGCCAAAATAACCTCAAGTTGCATATAAATTGCCATACCTGTTGATTGAGTTATTTTACATTGGTATAACGGTGGTGCGGACGGACGGAGGGGCGTACGGTCACATGATTACCAAAATTTCTCGGATGGGTAGACTACCGCTCGAGCGGAGCTCCGCTATAACTATTTACAGAACCCATAAAATAGATGTGTCGCTGATCTACAAATATTGTAGTAATTAGAATGCAATTAAATTCAGAGACGTGAGAAGCGTGGCATATGCATTAAAGCAACACGGCACCTCTTATATGAAGCTAATTAACTAATTATTTTTATCAGCTAGAATTATGTAAAACGGGGAATGAAATAATTGAAAAGGTAATGCGTAATACTATATAATACGCCACTTTTTCACCCACTTGGCTCGAACTTAACGATCAATGGTTTTTAAAAATCTTTATTATTATTATTTTTTGTGTGTTATATTATTTTGTTTTACATCATTTTATCAGTTTTAATTAATGGAACTGGTTTAACTTGTCAACAAAATAAAACGATGCATAGATCAAAAATGAATGCCACGAATAAACGTGCCAGTGTTGCCACAACATGAACCCGTTGTCCTGAAGTTCTTATAATGAGTTAAAACCAGAGTAACCAGGTTTATTTTTCCACTTATGCATACATTAGCCCTATTCCAGGAGGTGACAGCCAACGATTGCCTTTCAGCTGCAGACGTTTCCAGTTTGGAAACCAAGGGTAGAGCAATGGCGAGAACGCTCACCTCCCTTCTTTAAGGCACGGGTTTGAATCCCCAAGAAGACGCCACATGTGGTTAAGTTTATTGTCGGTTCTTGTCCTCGCTCCAAGAGTTTTTATTGACCGGTTTTCGGGTTTTCCCTTCTCAAAAACCAACATTTCCAAAGTTCGATCCTAAATGTTAGACGCTAAGTAATCCGTTGTTGTTGAATCAATGTTTGAAATTGTCTTATATCTGTTTTCTGATGTCTGATGTCCGACAACTCACTGTCGATGGTCACTGCATTGAAAAAATGTGTAGCTATCGTGAAGAAAATTTGTGTCTTCTAACCGGTTAGTCGACGATGTCCGATCTCTGATGTGTGATGTCTAACCGACCTGTATACAGATAAAGAACTGGCGAGGGAAGACTATTCCAGAGCACCGCCGCAGCATAGCTGAAGCTCCTCTTTCGGAATTCATTACGAGGACACCGAATGGAAAGTGCCCTCTGTGCCTCTTCATGAATAGGTTGATACGTTGCTACGGTCTACAAATTTAGAACAGAGATAATCTGGGGCAAGACTGTTAAGTGATTTATAGACCATAACAGTTTTTTGAACCTTTCGTTGGCAATCCAGTTTTAATAGAAGCACGATGGGGAAGTCTCGAAAGGCTTTTCCTGGAGTCTATCAACATTAATTCCTTCTTGGATGTATTCAGAGTCAGTTTGTTACCAATAAGCCAATCACTTATATTAATTAGATATCATTAGAAGCTAAGGTAGAGAGGCGGATAAACAACACGGCATGGAAACTGAAAACAGAACGAGACGTAAGCTTAAAATCGTGCTTTTTTTCGGAGGAACCTTGTCTTCTATTTACTTATACTGAAATCGGCCATTTTGCTGAAATTCATTCATTTTCAAACAACTGACATGCATTCAGAACAAAAGGTAAAAATTCCTTGGATAACCTCGTATTCTTACCCTCATTAATATTACTAACAAACGCTTTCACTAATAAGTTGATGTTTCTTTTTGTTTCTCATTTCGCGGTATGTTGCGTACAATGTTAGCATTTTGGAAAGATTTGAAATAGAGCGATTTTCATATGACCTTGAAATGAAAACGCGCGAACAAAACAGAAACAACAATCGAACGGAAATAAAGCCATTTCATTGGTTTACCGAAGGGATACAAACGCACCTGGTTTTTGGTTGGTTAAGCGAACGCTCGGCTGGAAAAACTTCATGCCCGAAGAACTTTCTAGAAATCGCTTTGACGTCATACTGCAACACGATTGGTCAATCGAACAATGGCTTCTCCATATTAGGGTTTTTTCGGCGGGAAAACGAAGAGTCCATCAGTTTTGTTCTTTTCATCCATTGGCTGATAAAACAAATAACGAACACTTACCGGAACCATTTTTCAAAGACATACGAAAATCGCTCTAAAAAGGCTGCCTAGATGATGAATGTCTCAGTGTGTATGTAATAAAATCACTGTACCACATGGAAAGTGCTTTGTATGGCGTATACGCATCTTTTAATTAATTTGTTTATTTATTTATTTTATCAGAAATCTCACTCGTTCGCTTCGCTCACTATCGACTCACTCGTTCGATTTCTTGTAAGTCAACAACTCGTGCGTAAATACTGTACGCCTGTACTTTCCTTGAAGTATTCTATATTTATAGTTCATCCTTCAAGGCAGGTGTAACTTCAATGCAATCTAATAGGAAGTGACACTTTTATCTCGGCAAGGGACCAAAAGCAGTTCAAATCATGAGCTAAGCCTAAAGGAGTTTCCATCAATAAAATAATCAATTGTGGATTGTTTAGCAAAGAAAAGAGAACTTTTATTAAGGACAATGGACAGATTTGTGAAAGTCGCAAAAGAGACTTTAAAACTTGTAATCCCCTTTGCAATGGTTTGACCAAATTGTTTAACTCATTTATTTAATTTTTATCTTCAAGTTGAGACAAATTCCTTTTAAGATGGCGTTTTTGCGGTGTGTATACTACCGCCAAATATATCGGCAACGCAAAATGCTTTTAATTATATTCTTTCCGCCGTTTGACTCAGTTTTACGAGGCCTTCTAGCAATATTAAACGAGTGCTCCACCTCGGAAATCTCTTGATCGCATCATCCTCCTTTGACCGGATAGAAATACCTTTATACGAGTCGACGTGAGTAATCTTTGAATTATAAATAACTAAAAAAGAGGTGCCCAGATTTTGCTTTACCATAAATGGTAAAAGCCATTTATTATTAAGATCAGATCGTCAGAGATGCTCACCAGTACTCCAGGACCCTCACTGTGTTCCTCAAAGGGAGTATGAAGTGGAGGTGTATTCAGGGTATAAGACATTGTTCTCTTGGGGATGCTGACAACCATTGTCGTTCTCATTGGCTACTTGCTTATATTTTATTTAAATCGTCAGTCCGTCATACAGGGAGTATTTAGGGTGTTACCGGTCTGCATGTCAATAATTAGCTAGCACATCTTTGCTTCAACTCCATCTTGCAACACTTGAAAAATGAATCCAGTTAAAGTCTTGCTTACAGTTTTCTTCTTGGCTACCTTTTCATCTGGTAAGTGAGACCAAAGGAAACACGTTTATATTGATGTATCGATGTAGCTTTCATAGCTATAATAGGTTATTGGGGCGTCCAGACATGACTGTCGGCGCCTTGACTGATCGCTGTTTTTTTACCACGCTAAAATACCTCCCTGCTCACTGATTTCGACTATTCGCGCATACATGTGTGATGATGGCGATCATCGCCTTGAGTAATCTTTGCAGTAGAGCCAAGAGATGTGTTCTGGCTTTTAATCTCGAGCGAGGAAAATGAGGAGAGTGCGTCTAGAGTGAGCATACTTTTATGTTAAACAATGATCTCAAAGCGCAAAACGTTAATGTCGGCCAATCGCCGAAGTGATACGCGTTCTTCTTATTTAGCACCTCCTTTTTCTGATTTGCTGTAATAGTTGTTGCAAATTATCTTTACGCTCTACTCTATGCTCTTCACAAACCCTCTATTTTCTCTTCAAAGTCCGTCGAGCGCGCGTGATAAAAAATCAACCGCGGAGGATTTATTCATGACCGCCAGCGCAAGGGGGGAATTAGTGGGAGAAAAAGAAAATACAGTCACGATATCTACAGTCACTTTGGGACCAACTGGAACTTTTCTCCGCGCTCGTTTTCGCGCGCTCAAAAAGAACAAAAAGAAAAATAAAACAACGTCTTATGTGAGTCATGGCAACACTAGAAAACACCTGCCTTAAGTCGGTACATAATTATAATTATTGCTTCTCTTCTATTTTTGTTACTACAGTTAACTAGAAACAAGATCTCAAATCATGATTATAGAACAAAGCAAAGAAATGAAAAGGTCCGGACTTGTAATTATCGTTTTTCGTCTATAATATTCCCAACACTGGTCCGCGTGGGTTTCGGCCTATTTCCGTATGCTTTTTTTAAAATTTTGTCGGGCCTTTCTAGTTCCCGCATTACTTAAGCAACAAAATTATGTTTCAACTGCTGAGTTCATCCTAAGTATTAAGTCGATGCCAAAAGGTTTAGAGTTATAATTGGAATTGGGAGAAAAGAAGCTCCAAATTAATTTCGGACTGGTCTTTATATTAGCCTAGTGACGATTTTATTTCATTTCAGACTTCTACGGAATGTTTATCGTTTTACATTACTTGAATGTAATGAACAAAAAAGAGAAAAGAAAAGTTATACATAAAAAAATAACGAAAAAGTCAATTTTCATTTCGCAGTCACCAAAGTAACATAGGGATGCTCGAGTTGGCCAATGGTACAAAAGAAACGGGAAAATAACTGTATCAAATTGCAGAATGGATTGTATAACTGTTTACTATGTATCACGCTGCCATCTTTGTGTTTGAGAAGGAATAGAAACTTTTTGAAAGCCAAAACAGCGTTCTCACTGGCTAATGAGAACCAAAGTTGTTCTGTATGCAAATTCAGGCTTTGGGCTGCGTCGCCCTTTTTTCTGTTTGAATTCAAACTAAGGTCAAACTCTATTAAGCCAGTGTCTTCCTTTGGAAGTCTGCAGGCTGTTATAAAATGACTGACACCAATAGGAGCCTTTTGCCGGTCTTTTCGTTACTATCATAGTCTCATCTGGTACGTGAAGATTACTTAATTAAAGTATTTTAGCATTTTAAGGGTATGAATCGTTTTCTTTCGTCCATAAAAATTGAAGTAAACATTGAGTTCTAGCTGCCTTTGTAAAAGTGCTTATTAGTATAAAGATTGAAACGTAGAGCAACCACAACGGCAACCGGCAGCGAAAACGACGCTAATAAAGTGAATTCGTTTTTCACATTTCATCGCGATTTTTGCAGTTCACCTAAATGGTGACTATGATATAGACAAAGTTTCCTGTAGGCGATTTTTACTTTCTTGACTACCACAAGACTCTTGAATAGGGTACAATTAACAAAACGAGTTAAATTTCCATCATGAACCCAACAAATAAGTAGAGAACAAATTGAGGGAAATGTGAGATTGAATTTTTCATTTTCCAGCTGTTTTTACAAGAGAGGATGAGGTTGATCATTAATACTATTATTTAGCGCAAACACAACAAAGAGACAACTATAGAAAAGGAAGAAAATCACTCAGCTTGCTGGACTTTTACTCTGTTTGAACGTCAATAATGCGATATTAGGGAGCTTAAGCAACTACGACGACGACAACTTCAAAAAACAATGGGTTTAAGGATCAAAACAACAGCTCTGCACGTGCATCATGCTTTTTAGTACATTTTTTGACGTCCACTGCACGACTACGACGCGAAACCTCCTAATTTGACGTTTTATGGAGGACGTGGACATACAACGACGAATTTTCCTTCTTCTTTTTTGAACTTGAATAAAATGCTTAAGAATTCAACTCCAGGAAAAGTCGCTTGCATTTGACATATTGAGCGGGTCCAAAAAGATGGGATGAAGTTTGAAAGAACGCAAATTCATTTTTTACCGAAGTTTTCACTGCCGTCGTCGTCGTCGTTGCTTAAGGTCCCTATTAAAGTTACAGCCAGAAAATGCATTAAGCGAGCCATTGAATAGATTAAAACTTGCAAATTTCAGTGTTCAAGGAAAAAAAACCTAAGCTTCAGTTACGTTGTAGAACATACTAGATAAATGAGATAGTTTTTAACTAAGGAAATAATTGTGGTGTAGACTCTGTCGGTACGCGGGTTATCAGTTACAGAAAAACGGAATTTTTTAATTAGTTGGTAACACGTTAAGGAGATAACGTCTCAAAACAAGCCCTTGGGCAGAGGCCGGCAAACATAGTTAATAGCGAAGAATGATTTTTTAATGTTGCATGTTTTTGTGGCCTTCAGGAAGGTGCATAGTGTTCAATAGCATTCCTATCATGTTGATCGTAACGACCAATAAATCCATCGCATTAAATTCCTCCTCATGATTCGTTGCTATTTGTGAACGGAAAACAAAGGATTATGCAGCGTCGGGGAGCTCCCAGCATAAACTGCAGCACTGTTGCTTTTATCTTTGATGTTTGTCATCTCCTTCTATAACCAATCTCCCCTCCTAACTGTGGGCCACATAAACATGTCGTTTAGACAAATCGCTGGCAGGCGGTTTCTAGGTGCAGACAGAGAAGCTGCAAGTAATACCGATCATAAGCAATTCACCGCATAAACTGATGAAAAATTTTAAGAGGAACCAGAAGATGAAATCCCGATCGCTACTTAGTCGAGAAAACTCAACTAAGTGCCTTGCTCTAAAAGATATGGATATGGTGTTGCCCATGATACAAAATTATAACGTAAATAACCAACAGAGCTCGAAGCATGCGAGTCACAATGAATACATTCCGATTTGCTTTGTTGTATTTCAGGTATTTGAATCTGTCTTGGCGATTACTTCTTAGGCTGTGTCATCAAGACAAGTCTGTGCTTGCTCCAGGAATTATTTCCTGAATTCTTTCCAGTTAAAGACAAAATAATTTGTTAAAGTTACAGAAATTAAGTTTTTGATATTATCTTTCCCATAGTGATGAGTCTCAAATGCAATGTATGCAGCAGCGCAGAGTCTTGGGATAAGTGTTCAAACACGGAAACGACCTGCCCTTCTGGCATGGAGGAGCGCTGCATCAAAGTTTACCTCAAATATGGGGAGACAAAAGCCTTTGTCAGGGGTTGTGGACCTAAAGATTACTGCGACAAGGACAAGAACCCAACATGCAAATTAGCTGAAAGTGTGTCAGGTGCTGAATGCGAGATCAACTGTTGCGAAGGAGATCTTTGCAACGCTGGTTCGGCAGCCAAGATCAGCGGCATCATGTTGTTGGCATGCGCTCTGGCCGTTCTGATGTTCTAAGGAGCATGAGCAGATGTAGCGATTCGATTTCCCGATGTTAGGAGCTGCTATTTTGTTGTAAAAGTCTGGTAATAGTTTAGATGCCATAGGATCATTTCTATTCAAGTTTGTAGCTGCATGGTTGTTGTTATAAATTAAACAAACTGGCAAATGTGCAGAAAATTCTTACTCTGCTATTAGATTAGTGGCTAGGATAACCTAAGTTCAGTTAGGAAAATGACGAGAGAAGCTAAGTGAAGTTTCTTTTAAAGAGGCCAAAAGTGGCTGTAATTAAATGCATTAACGTTTCGTGTAGGAAACTGCCATCATCGTAGTACAAGGATTAAAAATACACGACCTCTAGTGACATTTGGCCGTTTTGAATGATGCTGCAATGTAGAGCTTTTTCTCCCAAAACGACAGATTCAAACTAGTGAAAAGCTTTTTCAGTTTCTTCTTTTTGTAACAAGCTTACAGCCAAAGGGAAATAAAAATGTGTTTTGACTTGACGTTTTGTTAAAGACTTTTAAAGTATTCTATTCTGATCTACCCCAAAGGGTCTTTTGATAGATATATATATATATATATATATATATATACTGTCAGATATCAAATGGGCTTTCCAATTATTTTTCCTTTTTGCTTATCGCAAAGAGACCAGGAGAGAGGGATATATGATGATGGATTTCAGTATTCTTAAGACTGGGTAAAACCGAAAAGGTCGGCGGCTTCTGCTTATATATCTTGTTGTTCGCTCCAAAGCCAATAAAGATATGTGTATAAATATATCTATTTTGCATCTTTGTTCAATATTTTACTATTCCAATAAAGAAGAAAAGAAGAAGAGACGTTGTGAGATATAGCTCGATGGGGGCTGCGTATCTGCATATTAGTAGCATGGACGATGCTGGGTCTGTTGCAGGTCTCCCGCCACATATAAGTAGGAGGTGAGGGAACCCAGACGAGAGCCTTGAAGAACGCCAAAGTCCACCAACGCAAGATTGGACTTCCTGGCATATTTCCGAAGAAACTGACGTCGGTCGGTGAGGTAACTAAGCAAACATCCCAGAAAGCTCTTAGTAGAAGAACTCAACGAGTGTAGTTTGGTTACGTAAGCTAGTTTACTAGAGCGCGTCAATTCGTCTCTGCATGTCATCCTTGCTCAGCATTGCCCTTCTTAGTTCTCCAATTGTTGAAAGGTAGAGCGTGAATAAAGGAGAATTTCGATTCCCCGTCAAGCTTGAATTTTTCTGGTTCTTTTTCAACCGCTTAAGGTTGTATATTCTGCTGCGAGGATTGTTCACTTTCATATCTTTATCCGCAGTTCAAAATATACACCTTTTACTGATTCATTTCATATATTTTAATTCAAACACAACACGCTACAAATAGAGCACGGCACACTTAGAAACGTTAAAGGAAAAGCTGATGCTTTCGACATGGCGCCACTCTTTTGAGGAAATTAACGAGACTCAATTGATTTACCTGCTCCTTTCCTAAGAAATTTCTTGCATATGAATTTCTTGTTTTAGCTCGAAGTAATTCCCTTGAAAATGATGTAAGTTACCCGGTTTTTTTCAAACTTGCCACAAATGCCAGACATATATGGGACATTCAAAAACTGCAATATAAAGATGGGGTCACCGTGCTTGTTTTAGCCTTGCATTCCCGTAATTCTAACTTAGTTCTTTCTCACCTGTGGAAGAATAAATTACTGGCTACAACAACTTTGGCATAGATGATGGCGCTGAATCAAAAATTGGCACACATAAAGAACTGATCGTCCTTAACATTTTCAAGTATAAATATTGTGTTAATTGTGTTAATTTTGCTAGATATCGGAAATTATTGACCAATTGGTGGCCCGTTTAAGAAAAGAAACCGAGCAAGAACATTTTTCTAGTTCATATTAAACATTTCTAACTCTTCACGTTTGAAATATCCGTCCTGATTGCACTTCAATAAAACGTTATGAGGGAAAACACCATTTTAAACGCCCAAATTTAATCTTGAATTATCTAAAACTTTAATCTTAAACCCTTCGCGTACATTCATTCCAAAGGTTACATGTTTATCATCTTTCAGAAATGCCAACTTGTTTATCCAAACAAATTAAATTCTCCACCATTTGGCCAGTTCCCTTCATTTTCAATTTGTGGTCACGTGATATGTTACGTGACCATAATGAACTTTAGCACAAGAAAACCTCAAGATTTACTTGTAAAGAAAAAATATTTTCTAGGTCTCACCCAGGCGTTAAACCCCTTGAGCAGTTGTTGCGCGCGAAATGTTCGAAACTTAAACAACCGTCAAAAATTCTTATTTTATAGCAAAAACTATGTATCTTATTACAACCTTAAGCTCGTTTGTTTGTCTAGGCTATGTTTCTTCAGTTAAGTGACCTCAAATTACCCGACTTTGAAAAAATGTAACGAAATGGACAGTTTTCAGTGGCGGATCGAGACCTTCAGATAAGGGGGGCGCCCGGTCTCAAAAAAAATTTTTTTCGGCTCTTCGGGCCTTAGTTTGGTCTAAAAATAAGGGGGAGGCGGGCCCCCCGGGCCCTTCTCCTGGATCCGCCACTGGTTGTAACATTAGGGAGTTTAACGCCCCGTGCAAACGGACGCAACATTGTTGGCCAACAACTCCCAACGTTGTTGGATGTTACATGTTGCGTCCGTTTGCACACCCTGTTGCATGTTGTTGCGTGTTGTTGCGCAAAGTTTGAAACCGGCCAAACTTTTGAGCCAACAACTCCCAACACTTCTTTTGTTCCGTGATCGCCGAAGCGTAGCCCAACAATGTTGGATCCGTTTGCACGGTTCTTCCAACATCGTAGGGGCCACGCACGCTCATTACGCATGGATTACAAAGACCTATGGGTTGTATTCTTCCCACGATGCACTGCACGTCCCAAACTTGTTGGGAGTTGTTGCATCCGTTTGCACACCACTGACAACACGCACGCTACAATTCCCAACATTTTTGGCGCAATAATGTTGGGAGTTGTTGCGCCCGTTTGCACGCAGCCTAATATCACGTTTTATGGAGGACGTAAACAAGCGTCGACGAAATTTTCTTTCTCTCTCTCTGAACATGGATATGTTTGTTTGGAATTCGGCTCCATGAGAGTTCGCTTGCATTTGACAAAGCAAGCGAGTTTAAGAGACGTTTTCGTGGCCGTCGCCGTCGTGGTATCTTAAACTCTTTATTATCTCGTTCCTCTGTTGCTCTTGACTAAATGCGAGAATTCACGTTATTTATATCTAAAAAAATACAACTTCTACTATACTGATTTTTTCTCCTTAATATATTTTTTGGTGTAGCCATAACGAGTAAACAACACAAATATAAAGGAGGGGGGGGTTACCGTTCTCTTTTATGGCAAAACGACAACATAGGGAAAAATTTCGGCTTCAAGTGATCATTTTGCGCGAGGGGACTGGGGCGAGTTTCAAGACAAACACCCTTTTAGCCGGGTAGAATTATTAAAATCGTTTTTAAAACTATTAGGACTACAAAAGAGGCTATAATTACCTCTTTTTTTAACTTTTTGCCAACCATTTGAAAATCGCCGCCACCTTTGAAGGCGCAATGTTATGCGTACTAGATGATGCACAGTGCAAAACAAGGGAATTACCTTTCACATCTTGTTGCCGAGCAGGTTTTTATTCTAAATGATAACAAACGTCACAGAGGCATAACTGTTAAAACGTTTAAAATGTAGTAAACCGCAGTTTATAGTAAGGTTTCAATTAGCCATTTCTTAGCCGTAATCAGGAGCCTTTGATAGGCTCCTGCCGTAATCTGTTGCTTTTCTCCTTTTCTCTTTAATAATGACAGTACCACAAGGAAACCTTACTTGCAAAGGCTGGTGGGACTTCAGAGAACGTGATAGACTGGTTCCAAGAATTTAGTGTTTCGACGAATTCAACAATTTGACGAATTCAACGTTTGATGATTCTAACGTTCCGTTCAAGGTCAATTCAATTAACTGTTTACCAATTTGTTGTTTTGATGAAGTAAGGTTTCGACAGATTTCACATCATTACAGTTCGACCTCGAAAATTCAGTCCTTCGACGAAATGTAAGGTTTCGATGAATTCAATAGCGGGGTATTGTATGAATTTAACCGAGAGTTTGATAATTAAAATTTAAACCTTAAGATAATAAAACTTTGATAAGTCCACAAGTTTTGATCAATAAACTCTCAAGTTTCGACAAATTTACAAGGTTGATTTTTGAGCCCTATAAAGCGCCATATTTCTGAATGGAGACCTGCACGGTCCTTTATTGTCCGCAATCTTTAGCTCTAGATTAATTTCCCAAGAAATAAAAGAATGACCGATCTTGATTTAAGTAAGCGAAGTCCGTTTTTCAGTGATCTTTTCACTGTTAAGAGATCGTAAGGTCTTCACTGCAACAAGGTAGGGCCAAGCCCAGTCGCTTGTAAAGTTTCAAGCTTTTTAATTCATGATTTGCGGTAATCTGTGGCTTTTTTTTGGTTTCTGTTGGTTTTACGACGTTTTCACCAAGGCATTTTGACACTTGTCTAACCAAAGTCACCTTTTAACTGTTAGTGAGGGCAATTTTCATGTAAAGAGTGTTAATTCGTCTTTTTACCGGCCCTGCACAGAATAGCCTTTCTCGTCCCGACGCTTAATTCCTAAGAAATTAAAAAACGTAAATCACCTCGAGGTTCATGAATAAATGGTACATTTGTTTTGCTTTATTCCAAAAAAGGAGGACCAGTTGAATTTTGAATTGAAATTATATATTGGCCCATTAATTTTAGATTGCCTAGGAGTTATGGGTAATAAGCTAGAAAGCAAGCTGCTCAAATTTTTGAAAAACAAAACTATTCAAATGTTCAAATTTGACGTGTTAGCCCAGCAGCGACTTTTGTTTGTTTGCTTTTTTTTTTTTTTTGGTAAAAAGGGTTCAAGTGTGTATATATTGCTTTTTTTCAAAACTGGTCAAAAAAGCAGAAAAGAAAGATACAGAAACAATGAAGTCATTAAATCCATTTGTAGAAGTCTTCATCCTTTTCGCCCAAGAGGAAGCCGGATAATTTCCTGATATCCAACACCCCGAGTACATTTTGAAGAACTAATCCAGGGAGGGCTGGCAGCGAGGTCTGGAACCGAGTTTACATGATCGCCCTAGTTAAGAAATTCGGCCGCGTGAGACTGAGTACAAATTTTCCTTGAAAACAAATATGGCGGAGAATCCAGACATGGAAGGACGATGAGTTTTTGCTCGGTTTTAAGTTTTCCCGCGTACAAATATCAAGAGAAGGTTTCTACGGACTTTTTTAATGGTCCTTTTGGACATCAGGAGGCGTGATGTATGAAAAGTTCATGGGTGACTTCACTTATCGTGATTCGGGATCTCGGCAACTTCAGTTATTTTTATTTAAAGCTTCGTGAATTTTCGAGGGTCCATCTTGCTCCATTTCTTATATTTTTCCACTTACAGTGATATTAAGACTCTATGCTACGGGCACAATATATTGGTATGAGTCTTGCAACGGTCATATGTGAATGTTCATTAAACCACTGATTTTCTACTTCGCTGTTCGTAAGTTTGTTTGTGTACACCGGGAGGCACAACAAATATTTATGGGCGTAAATACAGAATACAGGGCCAGTTTAGAAAAAACCAGGGAAAACGTTCCAATCGCTTGCTTCACATATACTGGGTCTGTAAGTATAAGCTATTTTTAATATCAAAAGGCTGCAGGGAGGGGTTTACTGAACCTTCAAAACCTTCACTGCAATGTCATTGGAGTGATAATCAATAAATTTCCAACAGCAATACCGTGTTTAGTAGTTTTGTATGAGATAGTGAATTCGGTTTCAAGTATTTTCTTGAAATTGTTGATACAAAAATTACCCTTTAGTTATGAATTATACTTGAATGATTATAGCGGTTTAGTGTAAGAACAAGAGGCTAATTCAGTTGCTAATAAGAGTGAGTACATCAGGAAAGGGTATGCGTTGAGAAAATCCCTCAAAGGACTGAAGTACAAGAAACAGAAAAAAGAAAACTGAATGTTTTGCAAAGTTTATAAAGAGAATCAGAAGAGGCTTGAAAAATATACAACTTAAGTTTATTGTTTGTGTAAGTTATGAATCTGATTTACAACTAAATTATACAAGGTAAAATTGATTTTTTATCAACCATCAAAAGAAGTTATTGTCGGGCTTGAGCTCTATCCTCTTAGCAGTTCTTTCTACGATACTACCCTTGGATTATTTGGCCTAGATGGGTATGTGCTGCTGATTTAGGGTGGTGACCATTTCACCCTTTTTTCGAACAAGGTGTCTGTTTGGGTTGTGAGGGTTGAAGAAGAAGTGGTCTATAGAGTACAGTCTATTGGTACCACCATTTTACTCCCCAAGTTTTTCCATGTTTTTAAGTTTAAAAGCTACCTTAATTTTGTACGCTAAAGGAAATGAATCAGGATTATAAAGTAATGTCTCTTGTCTAAAAACGGGTAGGGAAATGCACAGTGTGTCCGACTACCCATACTCTCTTTCAGTGTAAGCCCAGGGAGGTGATCTCACATTTTAACTCCCTTTTACCACTTATTGTAACAGCAGAGTCAGTGAAGGCTTCTGGTCTCTGAAAAATAGTTTTGCCAGCCTCAACACAAGTTTCTAACTGTTATTGTTGACTGCAACTAACACTATCTTAATAATCATTTTACATTTTTTTTCGAAGGCATCCTATGGTGTTTTCAATATCCACTAGTACAAGGCAATTTTTAAGTTGAGAGGGTTTACTTTGATTTCATTAACAGTAAACTACATTTTTACACAGACACAAACTAACCTGGTAGATTGATGTCCAAACGTGTAAAACATTACATGCAACTATATGGCAAAAACTGATCACAGTGGCCAAAGGAAAGGCAAAAATAGAAATGTCATCATTTTTTTAATTTTATAAATGCTCTTTGAAGCATATTTAGCCAGATGTAGTCCTTGTCAAAACATGCAAACTTGAACATTTATTTCCTGACCTTAGCTAATCTTTTTTAAACCATACTCTTGTTCCAGTGGGTAGTGTAGTTTTTGGAATAAAATATTTATAATTTCTCCCTCTTTGTTTGCAACAAAACAAAACACAATTGAATGAGGACTCAAACTGAAGGCAGTGTAGTAACTGCTGTCATGAAAAGAGAATTCCAAACACACAAAATAATTACCCTTTCATTTGCCTATATTCATTTCTTAGAAACTACGGTAAAGTTTAAATTAAATCACACGAAGATAAGAACTTAAGCATCTTTAGAGTGAATGATCTCTTGGCAAAATTTATTTAGCTTCTAATACATGAACTACGAGATTTGACCACATGCCACTCAATCATCCAACGCAAATCTGCCAGGATAAGTTCACAATCAAGGATGAAGAATTAAGAATCTCAATCATCATTTCTTTTCCTCTTAAAGGTGTACTAAAGCCGTAAACAACTCTGACAACTCTTCTATTTGACCACGGCCACCGCGCTTTTTTTAATGTCCCGAAGGATTAATTTCCGAACTTTCACTTGAAAATATAAACTCTTCTTCATACGCATTGGAGGGTTGGCTCTTTTTCTAGTCTTGTGGGTCTTCTAAACAGAAACACAGCTTGAAAGCCTGTAGTGAGCCAAAAGGTCGGGCATCGAGGAACATGTACATGTACAATAACTATTCACTGGTCTGGTTCTTAGCGTAGTCAGTAAACCGCATGTAATGACAAACGCAAGACCAGAAGCAAGGAAAACGTAAGCCCCACATTACTGCGGAAAAAATCGGTTACAGCAAAGAAAGCAATGACCAACAGGACCAAAAGCGAATTCACTCCACACTGTCGAATCGCTGCGAAGACGAACTTCTTGATCTTGTTGTTGTTCTCAGCCCGTTTCGCGCATGCTCGCTACAGTTCTCGAATGATTGACAGATTCCTTAACTGGGGCGATCATGGAAAGCCGAAAAGCGGCAAGATCAAAGGCCGTTGCCAGCCCCCGCTGAACTAATCTATATGTTAATAATAAATGAATTTAAATTATCATAGATTTTGATCATTTCTTTTCGTTTTTCACTTGATTGCTGCCAAGCAAATAAAAATTAAAAACCAGGCGATAAAATCCTACCTCGGTCTCCAAAGATAACTTCAAAACCGTTCAAGATAGGAACACCGAACTTTAGCGACTTTTCCTTAGAAAAGACCGTCTTTTCTTAGAAAAAAATTTGGTAGTGTCAAGGTGCTTTAAATGAAAAATACCTCACATCCGGTTGATGTGCGTCGCTCAAAAGCGCCTTTGCTTAAGTTCTCTAATATGCCAACATAAAAACACCCTGCGAGTTCAAATTGTTAGCGATCAAGAGGAATCAATTGTTTGGCGTTGTAAGCCAGCAGGGGTATTTTTACAGAACGCCGAATGAAGAAAAACTGAATGACTCTGAAGTTTGGCGATAAGGGTTTGGAAACGGAGTGAATCAATTCTCAAGTTTCAGGTAAGTTTTTCACAAAACTAGGACGCAAAACGAACGAAAGTTTAAATATTAAACTATTTCGCTTTTTAAGAAAGTAAAAGGAACCAACATCATACAGACATTATTAAAAAAAACTGAAATGAAGTTTGGTTGTGACATGTTTCTCAAATACCACACGAGGCTTATTTGATTTCTGATTTTTAAAATGAGGGGAATTCTAAAGCTTTATTGTTACACTCTAAGAGATGGATTTCTTGGTATTAAAAGCTCCTGGTAGTGTAGCATACATATTATGTCATAAACATAAAATCAGGCCCGTTTCAAACGTCGTGCTACTGCCGTGCCGAACTCAATTCAGAAATCATAAATACATTAGAACACATTTAAAGGTTTGCTAAACCGTTTCTTTATTTTTGTGTTTTGTTTTCGGCAAAAGCCGTTCTATTCTACTGAACTAAATTCGACGTCTGAAACCAAGTCGTGTTAGTGTCTTGCTGCAGTCGAGCTACAGTCGAGCCAGCTTAGCACAGCAGTAGCACGACGTTTGAAACACGCCTTATTTTCGTTTTTTTTTTTTTTTTTTTTTTTTTTTTTTTTTTTAATGTTTGTATTGGAAGCATGTTCTCTTCATTTTCTGGAAAGCAAAACAGTTCCAAATGTCGTTCGTTTTGCAGGGTTAATCTTGATTGGTGGCATGAGGTTTTCAGAGCTAAATAAAGTGTTATATTACATCCTGGCACCGCTATATTCGATTGTTGGGTTCGTTAACCTTGCAGAGCGAAAGAGCCGTTGAGGGTTTCATTGCCGAAGTCAGGCGCCACACACTTCCTCGGAGGAAGGTAAGTAGTTTGACCTCCCCTTAATACCAAGAAAAATTTCCAACATTCGCTGGCGGTCAATAAATCCCCGCCATTTCTATTAATTTTCATACGCTCGCTCAACGATCTTAAAGGAGAAGAACAGGCTAGCTTTTCCCAAGTATTATTAAAGATTTCTAGGCAATATTTGCTCCTTTCAACAAATTTTTTCAGTATCTCTTTTTTCGCAACTGGCTCTGAAGTTGACGAAAACAAAAGGAAATATGTCGCATTGAGATTTAATTTTCATACATTATCGGTTTCTCAGCGGGCCTAATTAACATTCCGTGAGTTGTCGCCCTTTCTGCTCTTCGTTTGTCTCTTTGAATGAACAACATGTCCTTTGCCTTGACTGTCAGTCGCGAAAACAACATCACCCCAGCGTAACTTTGAATTTCGTTATCCTGTGTAACCTCTGAGACCGAAGTGTAATATATTATTCGGGCACATTATTTCAGTTCTTTTTGCTTTGCCTTCGATGAGTCTCTCAATCTCGTAAATTCGGGATCAATGAATAGCCTTTTCCCATATTCACGCCTTGTAAGATATAACCGGTCAATACTTGATAAGATTCCTCTGAGAGAGGACGGCTCATATTGTTCTCTCTTCTTCGTTAATTCTAGCTACAATAATGAATTCACTGAGGTATACATTCAGCTTCCCCGGTGGGATTTTCTCTTATAGTCTCTCTTCTTTCCGTACTCGCAAAGAAATTTTTTGGAACAATGTTCAGGTCATACATCGTCTTTTTCTTCGTATTTTCGTTTTCTCGTTGAGCAATAAGCTCGTCAACACCATCCTTTGACACATCCATAAATCTGAATCCAAAATCATCGTCCATCGGATCTAGAATGTTTAGATTCCAAGGTAAATCGTCCCCCATTCTGAAGATGCATCAAAACTACTTTGAAAAGACGCCGCTGCGAAAGGGGCGATTTATTATGTAATCATAACAACGCTGAACTTTTCACGTGTAAAATAACTTGTTATCTTTACATGTGAAGATGTAATGTTTCCGCGCGAAAGCTCACCTGGTATTTCATTGGAGTTAATATAATAAATGAATTTCATAGATTGGAACAGCGAAATCTCTAAATTTATTTCTTCGTTTCGCAGTTCTAATATGCGAAATTCATATATTTATTAGCGAAGCACCATGGGTAAGAAAATTTGGTAAACTATCCATCCGAGAAATTTGGTTATGACGTAGCGTACGAACGCCGACCGTCCTTACACCCACTACATGTAGCCGATGTCAAGTGTCCCATTAGATCTTGCACAGATATTGACACTAGCCTGTCATCTTACCTGTCAGTTATATAAACCATCCGTATGAGCATGAATTGACAGCTGTCAAAATCAGACATCCTCTGACAATTATCTCGATCATGACCACCTCGCGGGCTCAGATGAAAGACTAGTTGTTTTGCCCACTTACCATGCCAACAGAAAAATGAAACTAAGCTTTCACAGGGCAGGGCTGTCAGTCGGCTGCCTGTGGTTTAAAGTTATGCAAGCCAAATTAAGGTTAATTGACAGCTGTAGAAATGGGACATGTGCAGACCACTATCAGAAAACTAATAACGTGGGCTCAGGTACATGATGTGGCATTTCGCCCCTATAAGCCCGACTGAAATGTGTTACTGACACTCGCAGTCGACAGTTCGTTTTTTTCGAATATTCGCCATTCTAATGAATGTCAATTGGCAGGTGTCAAACTAGGGCATCCGCTGGCCGTCATCAACAGACTGTACCGCGGGCTTTTTCTACCCATTGACGTCACCTATATTTTAAGTGTTCCGCTGATATTTTGTTTGACCACGGGCTCAATTCTGTATTTTTAGCGGAGCTCCATAGCTTAGAAAATCTATCCATCCTAGAAAATCTGGCAATCACGTGACCGTACACCCACCGCCTGAACGTCCACACTTCGCACCACAGGAATACCAATGTTTGATCTCACTCTTTCTAGCTAGTTTGGGAGCCTGCGGCCTGATATTGTGCACCCATGTGACCGTCCATGTTGTGATCAATTGACAGCGAGGCAAAACAGTGTATCCGCAGACCAGTATCACCTGAAAGGTATCGCGGGCTCAACTATCGACCCACTGAGTGCGAGTGTTTTTTTGAAATTGTCTGCTGACAAGTTACTACTTTTCTAATGATCGCAGGCTCCAGTTCAATTTTTTTAAAAATGCTTTTAAAATAACTTGTGTTCATGAACCGCACTATTAAAATTTTGATTTCAAACTGACCTCGGACTCGAGAATTCAGCCGCCTTTTATATGCAGGGAAGGCATTTGCCTTTGACTTTTCTCACCATGGTCACGCGTTGGTCACGCTCTTCGTCCAATTTTTATGCTGTGATTGGTCAAAATTTGACAAGTGAGTTCATGCGGAAAATTTACGCAGCATCTGGAAACCTGTTTTCTGATAGCTGAAGCTGACAGAGCTTTGTGTCGCCATTTTGTCATGTTTTTAACTGTATTTTTCCACTTGAGGTACAAAATGAAAACAGCTGCTATCAAGATTCTTTAGTGATTCATGGCTGGTTTGTTTATTGGGTTCATGGTTGAGAAATGCGCCGCTTGTCAAAATCATCGGAAATCCAATTTCGGATGGCATCGTTTTCGTTTTTCACATTGTTTGATGCGTAAGTGGGTTTTTGAAAAGCTCAAGTGATTCTGGCCTTACTTGATGGCCTTCAGGAGCTGCATCTCGACTGGTAAGAGTGAGTAATTGTTGTATTTGATGTGTTTTTTTTTTCAGGTTTCCTAAATTAAAAGTCGAGCGTACTTTATGCGGCTGCTTATGCACGAGACAATGATCTGACCTACAATGGTATCAGGTTTGATATAAGCTTACAGAACTTTAACCCTTTTCGTACGGCTATGGTCGTATACGGCCCCTATGGAACGATGTTAATACATTCCTCCCTGGACCCATTTAGCTTTCAGTTGAAGTTAATAAATTGGAAAGCAACAAGGTCAGCAAAGATATATCTTTCCGGCGATACCTCGTTTTGGATATTTTGACCAATCCTGAAAGAGTTACACTCACAAAAAAAGGTAACAGTTTGGGGAAAAATCCACTGCCAATTTCCCTGCTTACATACTACTCTTTGAAAATTAGATTTGTCCCTTTCCTAAAAAGTTAGCCAGCCACAATTCCATGCAAAAGAAAGACGATAAGGTGTGGAACAAATCTACCAATAAAGAAGGAAAATAAGGAAAAAACAGAGCGAGAGAGAAAGATCGAAATAGATTCGCCAAAAAAAAATTTGGCTTTGGCGCATGCATGAAAAACAAACATTAAAAAAGCGGTTTAATAATAATACGTCAAGTTAGTCGCAAAATATGCCTTTTTCTTGCAAAACTCGGTTTTAGCCATTCTTATGCTAATTCGCCGAAAACCAGTCCAAAGAAGAGGAATTGGTGAAAAATATGGTGTTTTCGCTACTCGCTAGTCTCCCTCGCAGCCGTTTTTTGGATGTCACGCAACGCTCCTCCTTTTTCTTTTGGGGGAGCGTTGCGTGAAATCCAAAAAACGGCTGCGAGGGAGACTAGCTACTCGCCGGCTGTCACCAAAGGGTTAAAAAGCCTTTCGACATTTTCTGACGGCAAATACAAAGAAAACGTTCCGAAGAATATTTATTTACGATTTTGGCTGTAAAAAGAAAGCTCTGAGTGATTTTCTTCCCTCGAGTTCATCTTGAAAAATAGAAAACACCGGGAAGCTGCAAGGTTTTTTGAAAGTTTAATATTAGCTTATGCTTACTTGACTCATGATTTTCAGAAACACTTTACTCTCAAAACTTGACTTCGTGAATGAAAATTGTTGTCTCTGTACATGTTTCACTGAATTATATTTATTTTATTGATTGTTAGTAGTCTCTCTCGCAATTTTAATCGCTGCGCCGCTTGTTTTCAGACGTAAATAAACATCGCATGCAGGAGTACTCAAAATGCCGCGCGTAAATATCAAACGCTTTTAAAGATTACACATACAAGTAACAAAACCATAAATAAAGGGAAATAAAAACTAAACATACAATGTAATAAATTCTCTATCATGTTGAAGCGTAACTTTGTTAATGTTCACTCAAACACAATAGCCGGAACTGGAAATTTGGTGCTTGTCAAAAGTGAGAACATGTCTGGCTGGCCATATAGGTGTTTTTGAGAATTTTTTGCTCGTATTGATTTCACTAAAAGCCCATACTTATTACCCTACATATGACATAGGAGCATATATTTCTGACTGAACAGTCGCTGCATTATGGAATTCTCTTCATGAAAACGTTTTATAATGTGGTCAATTCTATAATTGGTTGTGCAAAGGAAGCGCGTGCTTCGATCGTCCTGGACTGATTGAATGAGCGCAATTTGTCTTGCAAAATTGTGAAAAATTGCAGTATTAAAAGTTTTAAATAAGGCCAAAAAAACTCTGTCCGAGGTCTGTATATAGTGATAAAAAAGCAGCGCCTCATAGTACAGTTTCCCTCAGACGTGATGTATAAAAATTATATTTAAAAGGCTGGTTTACACGCAACCAGATTTGTCACCAAGATTTACTTGTAAATTTTTTTAAAACTTGTCGAACACAAAAAATCCGGCCTGATTTCTTGTTTTGGCCTCCCTTTTAGACAGAGGAATGCAACGTGCAAATGTTTTGGCTGCAATCGAGGACTATCGTGTGTTGCATTAAATTATAATTCTGGGCTGTCCAATTATGCATAGTCTCTCCAAAGGAGTTGGATAGACTAAACATGGTTGGATGGACTATGAATTAACCTTAAAAAATTAAGGTGGTGTAGGTGGGCGACTGGGTTATTTTCTTTGGAAAGAATTTGTTTTCCAGGCCTATCCTACGGTGACAGAAGATGAAAAACTGATTTGTTTGACTCTTGGACGGTTAAATTATTTTTTCTCTAAAATCACTTCGCCTTTCCCTAAAAAGTCCCATGAATGTCCCCTAAAGTTAACTGATTTGTGGATTACCACTTTATTGTTTGATTTAAATTATAAATTTATTAACCGGCGGGAGCTTCACTATTAACCCTGGCTAAATCTATATACTATTTAAAGAGTTTAGTAAGTGTTTCATATTGCAAACGGTAAGCAAAGATATCAAACAGCGTGGGGAAGGGAATCAGGAGTAAGAGAGAACCTGGGTTCGCTGATTGTCAAACCTTGTGATTGAAATAGTTTTATTCCCCAGATTTTTTATCAGTACGCCGGTATGGTGTATAATGGTAAACAGTAGGCTACAAACTACTCTTAGATATTCTGCATTTGCAGATTCAACAAGTATAGAATAAGCCAAAGAAACAATAGTCCAACACTTATAATCGTGACCCACCTCAGTAAATCTCACATGGAAGCTTGATTCTCTTGCCTAAGAAGCTTGTTTCCACTTTCTTAGTCTTAAAATGTTTTTTCCTCAAGGTTAAGAAAAAAGCGTCATGGACAACGTCTTGGATATTCTACAGAACATTCATATTGGTGCAGTCGTCGCAACTTTCCTTTCAACACTGGACGTATTACATGTTTAAAAGCAGTAAACATCTTTAACGAATGTTTGGTGCTCCTTAACGGCAAAGCCCTTGAGACAATCAAAGAACTTTCCACACCACTTGTTATCTATGTATACCATAAACTTCTTGATGGCTATACTTTTATGTACGATCACACCCGTGCGATAGAATGTGGTAAAAAACTTCACGTGACGCTACACAATAGTGGCCAAAAAGAACAAGAAGGGATAATATTACTTAAACTAGGGAGCATCTACCGTCAAAGAAGCGAATACGAGGAAGAAAAACAGTTTATCGAGAAAGCACTCAGTATGATGATTGAGACTGGTAACAATCGGGGAGTTGGAATATGTTACGAAATTCTAGGAACTGTTTTTCTATCTGTTGATCAATATACCAAGGCTGAAGAATACCTTCAGAAAGCACTAGTGATCGCGAAAGAAATCGATAACAAACAAGGAGAAGCATCTGCTTACGGCAAGCTAGGAGTTATGTTCCAATCTGTTGGTCAATATACCACGGCTGAAAAATGCCTTCAGAAAGCACTAGTGATCAGCAAAGAAATCGGCGACAAAGAAGGACAAGCAGTAGCTTACGGAAATCTAGGAACTGTGTTCCAATCTGATGGTCAATATACCAAGGCTGAAGAATACCTTCAAAAAGCACTAGTGATCAGCAAAGAAATCGGTGACAAAGAAGGACAAGCATCAGCTTACGGAAATCTAGGAACTGTGTTCCAGTCTGTTGGTCAATATACCAAGGCGGAAGAATACCTTCAAAAAGCATTAGCGACCAGCAAAGAAATCGGTGACAAAAAAGGAAAAGCATCAAATTACGGAAATCTAGGAAATGTGTTTAAATCTGTTGGTCAATATACCAAGGCTGAAGAATACCTTCAGAAATCACTAGTGATCAGCAAAGAAATCGGTGACAAACACGGAGAGGCATCTGCTTACGGAAGTCTAGGAACTGTGTTCCAATATGTTGGTCAATATACCAAGGCTGAAAAATACCTTAAAAAAGCTCTAGTGATCAGCAAAGAAATCGGTGACAAACATGGAGAAGCATATGCTTACGGAAATCTAGGAACTGTGTTTAAATCTGTTGGTCAATATGCAAATGCTGAAGAATACGTTCACAAAGCTCTCGTGATCAGGAAAGAAATCGGTGACAAACACGGAGAAGCATCAGATTACGGAAATCTAGGAACTGTGTTGCAATCTATAGGTCAATATACCAAGGCTGAAGAATACGTTCAAAAAGCGCTGGTGATCAAGAAAGAAATCGGTGACAAAAAAGGGGAAGCAGCAGGTTACGGAAATTTAGGAACTGTGTTTGAATCTGTTGGTCAATATACCAAGGCGGAAGAATACCTTCAGAAAGCACTAGTGATCAGCAAAGAAATCGGTGACCAACACGGAGAGGCATCAGATTACGGAAATCTAGGAACTCTGTTTAAATCTGTTGGTCAATATACCAAGGCTGAAGAATACCTTCAGAAATCACTAGTGATCAGGAAAGAAATCGGTGACAAACACGGAGAAGCATCTGATTACGGAAATCTAGGAACTGTGTTTAAATCTGTTGGTCAATATACCAAGGCTGAAGAATACCTTCAGAAAGCACTAGTGATCAGCAAAGAAATCGGTGACAAACACGGAGAGGCATCAAATTACGGAAATCTAGGAACTGTGTTTAAATCTGTTGGTCAATATACCAAGGCGGAAGAATACCTTCAGAAAGCACTAGTGATAAGCAAAGAAATCGGTGACAAACACGGAGAGGCATCAAATTACGGAATTTTAGGAACTGTGTTTGAATCTGTTGGTCAATATACCAAGGCTGAAGAATACCTTCAGAAAGCACTAGTGATCAGCAAAGAAATAGGTGACAAAAAAGGAGAAGCATCAGATTACGGATTTCTGGGAACTGTCTTCCGATCTGTTGGTCAATATAACAAGGCGGAAGAATACCTTCATAAAGCACTAGTGATCAGCAAAGAAATAGGTGACAAAAAAGGAGAAGCATCAGCTTACGGAAATCTAGGAACTGTGTTCCAATCTGTTGGTCAATATAACAAGGCGGAAGAATACCTTCATAAAGCACTAGTGATCAGCAAAGAAATAGGTGACAAAAAAGGAGAAGCATCAGCTTACGGAAATCTAGGAACTGTGTTCCAATCTGTTGGTCAATATACCAAGGCTGAAGAATACCTTCAAAAGGGACTGACGATCTATGAAGAAATCGGAGACAAAGGTGGTGTTGGAGCTTCATACTTAAATCTGGGAAACCTTTGTCGAGAATTTCAGCTTAATGCGAAGAGTCAAGAATTTGCTAATAAAGCCCTTGAGATAAGTTACGAAATACGGGACATTGAATTGCAGTTTTTCAGCCACCTTACCATTGCTCTGAACGAGTTAGTGGCAGTAGGAAGCATAACTGAACTTGTGCTGCGAAATCTCTATGAAAGCATTCAAAAGTGCGAAGAAATGCATGATTATTTCAGAGTGAAAGATCAATTCAAAATTTCTTTTTTTGATGGGCATGTCTCCCCTTACCTTCTTCTTTGTAGGTTGTTGATTGCTAGAGGCCGTTATTGTGAAGCTCTTCACGTTGCCGAGCTTGGACGGTCCAGAGCGCTTGCAGACATACTGTCAGATAAGTACTCTGTGAAAAAAGAAGTGTCGGTGAACCCACAGTCATGGGTTGGTGTTGAGAATATCATGAGCAAAAATGCCCTTAGTTCCTATTTATACGTATCCTGTTTCCATTCAAATATGCGTTTTTGGATCCTTAAGCCGAACAAAACCATATTTTTTCGACAAACGAAACTCAAAGAAAGTGCAGCTAAAGTGTTTGAAAATCAAAGATTCGGTGGCCCTCAAAATTTACGTCAAGAACATTGCGAAGATCGATCATTGTTTTCTTCATATTTAAGTTCCCTGCCATGCAAACCATCTCAGGATGACACCTTTGCAACATTACGCCTTATAGAAGAAGAGGAACACGAAACGCACGACTCTGAGGCGCTCACCCTTGCTGATGGCTACAACATCATCGTCTCTCCTGTAGTTGACTTACTACAAGAATCAGAAATCATTATCATACCGGATCCACTGTTGTACCCAATTCCCTTTCCAGCTTTGAAGAATGACAATGGACAATATTTATCGGATACTTTCAGGATTCGTATTGTACCTTCTTTGACGACTCTAAGGTTGATTCAGCAGAGTCCAGAAGACTACCATAGTAAAACCGGTGCAATAGTCATAGGAGAGCCAGAGGTCAGTGATGTATACTACCAGGGAAAACTTCTAAAATTATGTCCCTTGCCTGGGGCAAGAATGGAGGCAGAGATGATTGGGCGATTGCTAGGTGTTGAGCCATTATTGGGAAAAGATGCTACTAAGCAAGCAGTCCTGGAAAGAATGCATTCCGTAAGTCTCATTCACTTTGCTGCTCATGGTTATGAGGAACGTGGAGAAATTGCTCTTTCCCCCATAAGCGCGTGCGGAACTCCGCACGAAGTGGATTACTTATTGACGATGGCTGAAATTTCACAAGTTCGACTGACTGCCAAGCTGGTTGTCCTTAGCTGTTGTCATAGTGCTAGTGGCCAAGTGAGAGCTGAGGGAGTTGTTGGAATCGCTCGAGCATTTCTAGCGTCGGGTGCACGCGCCGTGCTGGCGGCACTGTGGGCTGTAGAAGACAAAGCTACCAAGCAGTTTATGAGTCATTTTTACGAGCACCTTGTTCGTGGTGAAAGTGCAAGTGAATCTCTTCACCAGGCCATGAAACGGATGAGAGAAAATCGCTTCTCTGACGTTGAGCAGTGGGCGCCGTTTATGCTGATTGGAGATGATGTGACATTCAAAGGTTAGTATTTGACACCATTTTTGGATATCGTTAAGTTTTGCGCATTTTGAATTAAAATATGTACAATTTATGTTTGTGACAACGCATTCTTATGTACATTTGTGTTGCAGGAGACATTTTCTTGTTACTCCCATTATCTGCTGTGTTATCCTTCTCTGTACAGGGAATAGAGGAGAACGAATCTCCAGTTCATTTTATTTTCGTGAATATTTCGTAAAGTATGCTCTAAATTCCACCACTGAAAAGAAACGTCAGAGGCAAAAATACTTTTCTTGTGGTGATTATTTGATAAAGAAAAACAATGCACTCAGTTTAATTTAGATTCATCCTCGGGAACCCAGAGCAAGCTCAGAGCGACACGATAATTACTGGCGAACTCAATAGAGTGTAGAAGTAGAGTGGAAGATCTCTGAGCACGTATTCTGGCCCAAACAGTTCCAGAAGCATTTGGTTTCGTAACCTCTCTGGTAAATGTGCAAAGGTCAACTCCCTTCTCATCGCTTTCTTTTTTACTGACCATTTTATCGATAGCCCTGAGATCTCAGCTTTGGCTTGAGGTCTTTGCGTAGAGCTGAATATTGTAGCGGTAGCAATGGGCTATTAGCGATAGCCAGCGATAGCGACTGGTATTTTAACGATACCCCTGACATCTTCACGGTAGCCCCGAGATTTTAGCGTTAAAAATTATGACGTACGTTTTTTGATAGTTCTAAGATTTTAGCGATAGCAGTTCGATATTTAGTGATAGCGCTGTAATTTTAACGGGAACAATTTGGAAGTTGTATATATGTCATTCGATTACACGATCACACAAAAGCACCCAGCATGATTGGCCTTTCCTTTTACTTTTTGTTGCAGGTGTTTTTGGAAGAACAGTCTGAAAGATGGCGAAGATGTTGACTGAAACAAGGAACTTGTGAACATGAATTATGAGTTATCGTTAACGCACGATCTAACTAGTGAACCTAATTTTGAGATGACTCCTGGGTTCAAACCTTTCACCGTGTCATTTAACTTGTAAAAAATGTCAAGTAAATATTAACTTTTAGAAGTGGGCTTTCCTGAGTTTGCAAAGTGGGCAGGTGAAATTGGTACATTTTAATTTAGGTGCCATTTTAAAAATATGTTACAGGCGAGGTTGAAGCAGGAGATGAGAGCTAACGTAAGGAGGAGGTAGGCAGGACAAGCAGTAGGTAGTTTCTAGCCAGACGTCAAAGTTACATTGACTTCTGTCTCGCCTTTATATATTCGGCGCCTCCTTCATTCTGCGTGACTCCTGCTACCCGTCAATTCTACACTTCCTTCAGTACCATGAACCTGAGAAACTTTGGTTTGAAAGACCTTGTAAATTTGCTGATCATGACGAACGTGATCAAATGCAAAATAGATATTTAAGCTAAGTCAAGTGTTTAAGCTAAATGTTCTGTTGGATAATGTTCCGTGGTTCAATACGATACAGTGTACTCACGCGATTTTTCTAGTTGTTTCTATATGTCTCGTGTAGATAAAAATAGTGATAACTTAAATATTTTTATCAGAAATTTAAGACGAGGAGACTTTAGTTAGCAAACGTGCTTGAGGACACTGATTGTGAAAAGATTGTCATTTAGGTTCATTTTGATCTTTAGTTTCACAGGAAATAGGTTTTTATAGACATTCACAGGCAACTAAGGTAATTTTTTGATATGCATTATATTAATCTAATTACCTTTTTGAGTAATTTACACATTTTTATACTTTTAAGTATTTTTGCGTTGGAGGTACGAGAACGCAACCCCTAATTTGTGTTGGCTGTTCTGTGCATTATTCGGTGTCCTGTGCAATTAATAAGGGAGGTTTTTTCGAGATTGCATTCGTCGTCGACACACATTTTCCTCGCTTTGAGGCGCTTGCTTACGTTTTGCCTCACTTTGACGCGCTAACTCACGTGGTGATTCGTGTGTCCTCGGCGTTCATCTTTCAAACGTTTGCTGAGGTCTGCTATTCTGTCTTCGTAAATCGTTCATCTTTTAAAAGTGTGCTGAATTTTCTTAAAGCGTACATATTTAAGAGTTTGCTTAAGGTCTACTATCGATCTGTGTTTAATGAATCTTCCAAATCGTTGATCTTTCAAAGTTGTACTGAAAGTTTACACCCTGAGTAAAATTTTACTTTGGATTAAACCTTCATATTTTTCTTTGGAAAATGCGAGCTACTCCTGGTGCTTGCATCAAAGCGGGTTGTTTAGCTCGGCGTCCGTTGTGCCACAAAATAAATTTACGGGCGAGTTGTGAAGCTCAGCGTCTGTTCTACTTAGTTGTGTAGCTAGGCGTCCGTTATTCCTCAAAGTAAATCTACCGAGATGTGAAGCTCGGCGGCACCATTTCATCATGACTTGTGATATTTTCGGCACTGGACATAGGAACATTTTAGCTCTATGTTATTTATTCGGAAAAACGTGACCAGCCCACAGTAGCGCCACTCAAGCCACTGAAATCAATACACACGACCAAATTACTGGAAAAGTTATTGTCGTGAGCCGCACACATATTCCACTGAAGGCTCTGATGATTCCCTTGAAACTTGTGAAATTGAGAGGTGTAGTGTAAGTAAACCGGTGTCCAAACACAATCATTGTGCCCCGGCTTTCACCACAAAAAAAGGGGTCTTGGGTCGTTCTTTAATATCATCACAGGTTAAGAAGACTTACCAGTAACGGTTTCCGTCATTTTATAGTAATTTTCAGTCATTTTCTACATATGGAAATCCTAATATTAAATAAAATTAATGATTACTTCTAAAACTTTGTCAACTGTTTGCTTTTTAACAGTACCTAGGCCGGGTTGTTCAAAGATGGGTTAAGATAACCCATGCGAGGAGAGTTAGTGCGAAATTTGAACTCAGATGTGAAAGCTTCATTTTGCCAACAAGTTGATGATTGGTCCGGCGCTCTTAAAAGTAACTGAGAAAATTATCCAAAGAAATGTTTTTTTAACAAAAGAAAAAGAAACCCGGGTTAAGCGCAGATCGACCTTCGAACAACTGCGCCCCGTGGAACATCTATTGCGCCAGTAAAACAAAAAGTTCTTTTTACACGCCCGAAGTACTCTGGCCAGTGTCTCCTCAAATAACAAGCACTTGAGACGAACCATACGATAGCACGCTTATCACTAGCCTTCAAAACCTTTGCATTATGATACGCAGTTTACATCGAGGTTTCGCTGTACGAAACCTTAAAATATGCCATAATCATAGTTATCTATTGCAAGAACCATCCACCCTTTCCCCTCAACTGCTACCTGTACGCCTAGCAAACATATCGAACGCACTCTCCTAAGCTCCGATTACTCCTAGTAAAAATTATAGTGTCCCCAATTAGCTACTAAGCTAATTATTTAAGACACTATAATTAAGGTCTGGTTATTGTTGTTATTGTTGTTTGCCCAAGATCATTTACTAACTAATACGATATTTTATTCGCAGTATTGAGCAGGAAGACTTACGAGTCACTGACTCCAAATATCGAGAATCGCTGGACAGGTTCGAAAAATCGAAAACCCTGAAACTTTGCCTTAAGAACGCTTTTAGGGAGATGTCTTCGAAAATGTTATTCCGATTTTCTAAGAATTTAACGCCTTCGAGAAATTCGCAAAAAACGAAAATACACCTTTTTACCTCATTAAATATGCAAAAAATATCGGGAAAATTGACGAAGTTCTCGGTAATCGCATTGAAACAATTTACAATTTTAGAACACGGGATAAACTTAGCATAAAAGCTTCACCTTTCTTCTATCTAACACTAGGAAGTTTTAATTTTTTCAAGTATTATGAAGGGCTCCGTCGACCGTCAAAGAATTGCCTTTTCAAGCTCCTATGGAAACTGTAAAAGTTGCGTATTTTTACGAGCTTGAAACGCATCTTGGTATGCCCGATATCGAGTCGAAATTAATATTGAGATAGTCCTTTGGCCTTCTTCTATCAAGATCTGAAAGAAGAAATCTGGGCAGTTTGAACGCACGCTAGCAAACATAACAGATTTGAAGGTAGGTGATAACTCATTTGCATAATCTACGTAAACAAAAAGTCTATTTATAGAATGACTACTCGGCATATTTCTAACAGTGGTACTCCAGATTCGTTTCGATGGACTTATTATTTTGTCGTTTGTATTGTTTTCTTCAATTCTTTAGCCTTAATAATTCCAAATAATAAAGAAATAAGGAAAGTCTTTGGTTTAAGTGACACTCAAAAGGTGAGTTTCGAGTCGTCAATATGATTAACAGCAAACTCGCTTACGTATTGAACAATCATTTCAATTTCCAGATTCTTCCAGAAATTGTTAAATCGTTGTTTTATAGTTGAAATCCATCTTCAAAAGTTATTCTCGGCTTATGCAGGCATGATTTCCGCGGCTCTCGCGGGCTCGGTCTACAGTATAAGACACCGGCACAGATACCATTGTAAACAATGTCACGCAAATTAAAGTGTACTCCTGGTGGGGTGTATATATAAATGCGAAATTTGCAATAAATTCACACTGTAGTTATAAGAAAAATTTAGCCATAAAGTCACTTTGTATATTCTACAAACCGAGAATTTAGCCATTAATTAACGGCTAAATATTTTCCTTTTCATAGAAATTATTTAGCCATTAATTAACGGGTAAACATTTCCTCTATATATGTAGTAAGTGAAAATTAGCCATTAAATAACGGCTAAATATTCCTCCTATATATATGTAGAGTAGGTAAAATTTAGCCATTAATTAACGGCTAAACATTTCCTGTATAAGTGAAAATAAGGTTAAACTTAGCCATTAATTAACGGCTAAACATTTCCTATATATAAGGAGAAGGTTACACTTAGCCATTATTTAACGGCTAAATATTCCTTGTATGTAAAGAATGTTAAACTTAGCCATTAATCAACGGCTAAATATTCCTTTAATATTTGTAGAGTAGGTAACATTTAGCCGTTAATTAACGGCTAAACATTTCCTAGATATATGAAGAGAAGGTTAAACTTAGCCATTAATTAACGGCTAAACAGTTCCTAGATATATGAAAAGAAGGTTAAACTTAGCCATTAATTAACGGCTAAACATTTTCCATATATATGGGAAGAAGGTTAAACTTAGCCGTTTATTAACGGCTAAACATTTTATTTTATATATGTGTAGGAAGTTAAACTTAGCCGTTAATTAACGGCTAAATAATTCCACTATAGGTTAGAGAGAAGGTCAAACTTAGCCGCTAATTAACGGCTAAATAATTCCTTTTTGTTTATAGAGGTTTAACTTAGCCGTTAATCAACGGCTAAATAATTCCAATATATACCTGAGGGAGGTCAAACTTAAAAATATTTCAAAATATTTTCAACATATATAGATAAAGGATGTCAAACTTAGCCATATTCTTTAGGAGGTTCAACGTAGCCATTAAATAACGGCTTATTATGTACGAACTATAGGGATCGCGCGGGGGAGAGGCTGGGGAGGTTCAGTAATTTGACATTTAATTCTAAACGGCCTCAAAAAGAGAACTACGAAATTTGCCCCTCCCTTCTCACCGGACCCAACATTAAAAGAACTGCTCCGCGGTTGGTTCTTTAAGCCGTTAATTGATTCGGCCAAAATAGGCTGTTTATGCTAGGACGTTACTCTCGCTCACAGCCGTTTTTTTGTCTCTTCATTAAAAATGGCTGTGAGGGAAGATCAAAGGATAAAGAACGTCAGAAACCAATAAAACCATGCAGGAGAAGGCCATGGGCAAACGACTTTTGTTGTGTGGTCTATTTGGTTTTTAGTAAGGGTGGTAGAGAAGGGGGGCTTTTGCCAGGAAAGAAAAGTTTCAATTTGGAAAGAAATGCGAAGCCAAATCATGGAATGACATGGAAATTATCCCTCCTCCCCGGGAATTTGTGGGGCGTTTGTTTTGTTTTTTTTTTTTTTCAGAACCACTGCAATTGCCCTACGGTAGAGGCTGAGGGCCGGGGATTCATACAAAGACCTCACGGTGGGGCTGAAATAAGTGTGCAAATGCCCGACCCCGGGATAACTCTAAAATTGCATTTTATTGTCATCTGTGGTTGAGGCCTAAACTTCAGCAATGTTATCAAATTTTATTTGAAGGAGATGATTACCTTAAATGTATACTACTCGCGAGAAATGTTGTGTTTAAAATTGGATGAATCGACTTTTTCATATTATGGAAGAAGGGGTGGGACAAGTAAAACTAGCAACTCAATTTTATATTCTACTCGAGGCACCCGCGGAAACAGAAGGGTAGATTCACTAGGCGCACAAACCGCCCACTTCGATTTACTAGACTGGTGTACTCCAAATGAATCCATCCGAGACAAACGGCTAAGTTTAGCAGTCTCTTTATATGTTTTGGAGGTATTTAGCCGTTAAATAACTGCTAAAAACGCATGACAATTATACAGTGGAAAATGTTTAGCCGTTAAATAACGACTTAGTTTAGCTATTTCCTTATATATATCGGAAAAAGTTAGCCGTTATTTAACGGCTAAAAATGCATGATACTTATATAGTGAGAAATAGCCGTTAAATAACGGCTAAAAATGCATGATACCAACATAGTGGGAAATATTTAGCCGTTAATTATGCATGATACTTATATAATGGGAAATAGATAGCCGTTTTTAAATAACGGCTAAGTTTAGCTGTATCCTTATACGTATCGGAAATATTTAGCCGTTAAGTAACGGCTAAAAATGCATGATACTTATATAGTGGGAAATAGTTAGCCGTTATTTAACGGCTAAGTTTAGCTGTATCCCTATATATATCGGAAATATTTAGCCGTTAATTAACGGCTAAAAATGCATGATACTTATATAGTGGGAAATAGTTAGCCGTTATTAAACGGCTAAGTTTAGCTGTATCCTTATATATATCGGAAATATTTAGCCGTTAATTAACGGCTAAAAATACATGATACTTATGTAGTGAGAAATAGTTAGCCGTTATTTAACGGCTAAAAATGCATGATACCTATATAGTGGGAAATAGTTAGCCGTTATTTAACGGCTAAGTTGAGCTGTATCCTTATATATATCGGAAATATTTAGCCGTTAATTAACGGCTAAAAATGCATGATACTCATATAGTGGGAAGTAGTTAGCCGTTAAATAACGGCTAAGTTTAGCTGTATCCTTATATTTATAGGAAATATTTAGCCGTTAATTAACGGCTAAAAAGGTATGACACTTATATAGTGGGAAATAGTTAGCCGTTAAATAACGGCTAAGTTTAGCTGTATTCTTATATGTATGGCAAATATTTAGCCGTTAATTAATGGCTAAAAATGCATGATACTTATATAGTGAGAAATAGTTAGCCGT